GAATTTTGATAGTACCAGTAACAACTTACCATATTTGTAATTTAATTTTCTTTCCATCTAATTCTATGGTCCTTATTTTGAAATCAATACCTGTAAGACACAAAACATACAGTTGTGATCACCATGGTTACAAGAACAATAGGAGTATACCCTATACTAAATATCCAATTACTATTAAGCCTAGTCCCACCACATTACTCTTAAATCACCGTGGTGATGAAATCAGATCTTACCTATCAGACCTCTGAGCAGGCATATATGATACTGTAAGCATCAAAAGAATTTGTATACACGCCTTAAATAAGTGATTTTAAAACTGAATGTTGTTTTTCAATTAGACAAGTTGAAGGATTATAAATGTGTGTGATTGTTCCACCAGTAAAAGGTGCTTTTTTAAAACATTTAATGGCATAGCACAGTTGAAGTAAAACTTTTATAACAAACTTTTAGTTGGCTTGTAGCTATCTTAGTTTGCTTTTAAAACTGTCACATATCTAAATAGTGTAGAGTAATCTGTTTAAATATGTTCCATATTATCTCATTTTGAAAATTGTAAGTTTTACTGATAGGATAATGCCAGCTGATGACGACCTTGGAAGTTAAGTTACAGCTGAACTGTACTGCAGCTGGTTGGCTACTTTTGCTTACTTTCTAATCACCATATAACTTAATTTTGAGTATTCAGTCCAAATGTGAATTACTGTAAAAGACTTTATTTTAGCTGGAATTAATTTCCGCTGAAAAGACTTTGTGGACGTTTTGTAGGGAATTTATTTTCACTGATTTTTTACAAGATGAATGTAAAATATAAGAAAAAAGGTATATTCGGTTGGATTTTATAAATGTTTTGTTTTAAATATTACTTAATTCTATCAAGACATAATGTCTCAAATTGAGAAAATTTTAAGCAAGTGGGGTTTGGGGTGGACTGTGAATAGTGATAAGTACAAATGATTGCTGTGTAGCCCTGTGAACATTGATTGTGTATCAGAAATTATTTTTATTATTATTACGTTAATTTTCTATCTATCCATGACTATTTGAACTTTCTGTAAATAATTGTGATAAATACAAGCCATTCGTGTGTAGCCCTGTGAACATTGATAGCGTATCAGCGATTATTATTATTACCTTAATTTTCTATCTATCCATGACTATTTGAACTTTCTGTAAATAATTGTGATAAACACAAGCCATTCGTGTGTAGCCCTGTGAACATTGATAGCGTATCAGCGATTATTATTATTACCTTAATTTTCTATCTATCCATGACTATTTGAACTTTCTATGGGAAATGGGTATGCACATACATCACATGACAGGAAAGCCAGCAAACTTTACTTCCTACTGCTGAAGTTAAAGTTGTATTTGTCAGCAAAACTCAGTCGAAAGCCTTTTCAATTTGAGAAACTTGGCCAAAATCAAATATGAAACTTCAGAAAGTTACTGCAATGACGCATTATAGTGTAGAAACCTGATGTATTTAAACTGTTCACTGTGGAATACTTTATTTTCGCTGGAATTAATTTTCGCTGAAAAGGCTTTTTGGGCGTTTTGCTTGGAATTTATTTTCACTGATTTTTAATGAGATTAATGTGAAATAAAGGAAAAAAATATATTCGCTGGATTTTATTTTCACGGAATCATCCCTTCAGCGAAAATAGCGAAAATAAATTCCAAGCGAAAATAA